TGACCACAAAGCAGTCTGTGTTTAGTGGGTTAGTGGAGCGCTGGTCTCCCTCCACTCTTGGAGACTTTGACCACTCCGCCACCTCGATGGAGAAAATCGGATCTCTTATATGACCAGACCTGCTGCACATATTCAAGACTGCGGCTTTTCTTCTTTTTAAGTCTCTCGTCATGTAAACTCCCATTCATGTCACCAGAAGAAATTCTCCTCTCTCTCTCTCTCTCTCTCTCTCTCTCTCTCTCTCTCTCTCTCTCTCTCTCTCTCTCTCTGTGAACATGTATCTTTTCCACTGTTCATATTCTTTCCTGTGTGTGTGTGTGTGTGTGTGTGTGTGTCAGCGGGCCGATCCACCAGCTCAGAATAAGTGGCACCAGACAGGCCATATAAGGAGTGGTTAGATCATTGGCCACACCGTTAGTAAAACAGAACCATATGTGTGCTGTGGGTGTTTGTGAGCAGCACTATAGCTCGAGTGTGTCTCCGCTGTGTGCGCGCGTCTAATTAAAGCCACGTGTGCCTAAAGGTAGCCGAGAGAACAGGAGCCTGTTGCCGTTAGACATGGTGAAGGTCATGTTATATGGCGATGATAAACACACTCTCTCTTTATGTGCCAATCCCAAGCAGTCTCGCCACCAACAGAAGGGGGAGAAAGAACGTTCCTTGTTTGGAGCTGACTCGAAACGCGTACACCTGCCGTGGGGGTGGGGTGGGGGGGGTGTTACATAAGGGGGGTGTCAGCCTAATGTGCAAACTATCAGCTCGTAGATCACGCGTCTTTGTGCTCCCTCGTTTTATCTGCTGATGACTTTAGCAGAGGAGAAGGCTCGCTTGCTCTCCATCTTTCTTACACAGCCAGTCTGGAATGTACAGATGTTTCCTTTTGGGAATGGGCGTCCCGTTCGGTTCACACACACTAGAAAGAGAGTGAGCAAGAGGTGCGTTCCCATACACTCAAACACTCATTTGCAGTATTTTTTTATACCCCCTGAGGTGATATTAGTGTCTACTGTGCACATAATGAGGGTGAAACACGTTAAGCACAATGTGCTCTTTCTTAGTCGATCACATTACTTGAAGTCAGCGGCAACCTGTTGTCTTGCGATCGCAATCTATCCTCTCACAACATTGGGCTCGATCTATTCTTTCCTCTTTGTTTCACTGATCTCACGTGCGGCTCGGGCTTTACTGCGAAGTTTCCAACAAGCTGAAATCACTCAACTGTGTTCCACACTGGACCTCTTTGTTTGTGTTGGCAAAGGTTCGTCTCTTCTCACTTCCTTTGTCATGATTAATCTACCGCGAGAACGAACCCCCAGCTCCGGTTAGCGCGATGACATTGTAGCACAATTTGGTAAAGTGCAAAAAAACACTAAATCGCGAAGGCGCTGGTTTTGTGTTTAGTCGCATTAAATATTAACCAGAATGACATCAGTGCAACAAGTGCTTGTGTCAGACAAGCCGTAAGACGAGTATACACATTGAAGGGATGACCAATTGAAAAGTCTTTCGTATCACGCGCCTTTTGAGTGCTTGTTCATTTTCATAAAAAGAGCTTCATAATCTGTATGCTATCAAAATTGAATGAAATAGAGCCACACCAATATTATTTCACAATAAAATATTCTATTCGCATGAGGCTTAACTGCAGATAAGACGGAGGGTAACGTAGGTGAAAAAAGGTCTTGACATTGCACTGAAGAGGAAAAAAAGGGGGCCGGTTATGACAGTGAAGCCACTTAAATGTATAATCGCTCGGGATGTAACAGTACACCGAAAATCACAGTTGGGTACAGACCAGTGAGAGACCGATAATCGGCTGGGCCGATTATCGGCGCTGATATTCTGCAGTTTGACGCATATCGGCATCAGCCTTTTTGAAACTGATAAGAAATCATTTTAAAACTGGGCAAAATGCTGGGCACTCCCTACATCTTTTGTCTTTGTTTGGACTTAAAGATGAGTGAAATATTAAGAATGTATTCACACCTGCAGACCAGACTTCATTTTTTTAGGCAGATGTGAATACACACAAACGAAAGTAGATCAAACATCGGACCGAGACTTACTTTATGAGATGGCTTTCGGTGCAGTACACTTCAGGTGTTCATACAAACCATTGCGGCTCTGCACCTTTTGAGGTTTAACAAGCCACCGTAGCAAGGCATCTTGGGAAAAATTAGCCTGCAAGTAAATGTACTTCGGGCGGCCCATTGGTCCGGTGGTTAGCGCGTTGACCTCACAGTGCAGCGGGACCGGGTTCAATTCCAGCTCTGGCCTCCCTCGGTGGAGTTTGCATTTTCTCCCTGGGCCTGCGTGGGTTTTCTCCGGGTACTCCGATTTCCTCCCGCATTCCAAAATCATGCATGGCAGGCTGATTGAAGACTCTAAATTGTCCCTTGGTGTGAGTGTGTGCACGGATGGTTGTTCAACTCCGTGTGCCCTGCGATTGGCTGGCAACCGGTTCAGGGTGTCCCCCGCCTACTGCCTGAAGACAGCTGGCAACCCTTGTAAGGATAAAGCGGATCGGAAAATGAATGAATGAATGAATGAATAAATGTACTTAAGTTCATAGTTCATACCTTATCCTCCTTCAGTTTGACCATACTGCTGCCCGCACGTTGCGGGTCAGGGCATGCAGAACACATCGTCTCCTTCAGGTTATCGCATGCATTTGCCGACGCTACTCCGAAATTAGAAAAAGTCGCGAAACCTGCGTTGAATGAGCTGCTCTTGATGCTCAAAATTATTTTGCAGCACTAATGACAGCACGAATATGCAGAACAAGAACGCAGAATGTAGGAATTCCATGTTTTCCTCGATTTCCGGGTCTGTGCAGTGTGTGCCGCACTAGTCATCTGGGAGCATTGATCATGTCACATGCATGGATGTGGTTACGGAATACAGTTCACTTGCAAGAACTACAATGCAAATGCGAGCCGCACGAAACCAGATAAATTAAGTCCGCTTGTGGTCCAGACCAAACAAGTGGGGTACACCCGAACATTATATTGACATTTTGGAAAACTTGATAAATTGTAGAAAACTTTTGTGAACTCTTTATTTAGAGTTAAAGTTTCCATTAAGCTTTAAGAAACATTCTGCTGAGCCTGAGAGCTCCCTGCACTTTCTTTTTGCATTTTAAAATAACATTTATTAGTCTAAAATGGCGGCCCGGTGGTCGAGTGGTTAGCGCGTTGACCTCACAGTGCAGAGGTCGTGGGTTCGTTCCCGGCTTCGGCCTTCCTGTGTGGAGTTTGCATGTTTTCTCCGGGTACTCCGGTTTCCTCCCACATTCCAAAAACATGCATGGCAGGCTGATTGAACACTGTAAATTGTCCCTAGGTGTGAGTGTGAGCGCGAATGGTTGTTCGTCTGTTGTTCGCCCTGCGATTGGCTGGCAACCGGTTCAGGGTGTCCTCCGCCTACTGCCCGAAGACAGCTGGGATAGGCTCCAGCACCCCCCACGACCCTTGTGAGGATAGAGCGGATCGGAAAATGGATGGATGGATGGATAGTCTAAGATGGAAAAAAAATGAAATTGATATCAAAGTGCCCTCAGCTCAGCTGTTTTCCAGGTTTGGTCACGTGACATTCGCAAAGTGAGCCCGGGGACATTTTGATGTCAATTGCAGTTAACATGGTGCGACGATGCATGAAATGTCTGATATGGACAAATACACTCACAATAAATATACACATTTATGTAGCGTGTATATATGTTTATTTCTATATTCGTTTGAAACCATTTATATGCACATACCTTTTTTTTTTTTTCTTCAATGTGTTGCGGAGGTATCGGATTGGAACTCTGTATCGGCAGATCCTTCAAACCAAAGACACTGCTTGTTAGCAATAGCTATTAGCTATTGCTTTAGAATGCATTATTAGTGTTTTATGTGACTTCATGAAAGTTGGGCTTATCGATCGCTTTCCAAACTACAAAAAATGTTGCACTTTGTCTTTCGGAATAAGAGGATGGAACCGGAAGTGCTGCGTTAACTGCGTAGATTTTGCTGAATTACTCGTGTTCTTTATCATTTGTAAGTGGACTCATTTGATCACTATTAATTTTCATCTTACTTTTGGGTTGACCTATCCAGTAGTATCTGTTATTCTTTGAAAACTAAACACACAAGTGGAGTGATTCGATTCGCTTCAATTCGGTGGGATTATGATTCGGTTCCAGAGGGTACGATGGAATCAGTTTCTTGTTGTCGTTTTACAACATGAGTGAACTCTTTATGGTAAATGTGGTGTTTGCTTTACTGTAATCTCTCCAATAAAAGATGATTTGATATGCGTTTCGACATGTTTTAAAGTGGAACGATTTCATTTTAGTGCACTCAAAATCATTATCAATCAACGTGCATTTTCTGCAGCGTCTATTTGAAACAATGCCCAGATTTTGATGAATTTGATGGAAAGTCTTTTTTTTTTCTTTTTTATGTGATTCATCAATTAACCACCAAAACAATAAACAGATTCATTAATTATTAAATTTATCATGAGTTGCGGCCCTTGATTATAACATATTCGAAAGAACAAATTTCTTTTTTTCCTGGTTTAAAGTCCGAAATGATTCATATTCATTACAGGCATTTTGAATGTACTGTTGGTTAAAAAGATCAAGATTTTTGTCGACGGATCTGTTTTCTTGACGGATCTGATTAATATTCAAAATGTGAAAATATGACAATGCCAATATTCCATTTCTTAGAGTAGAGTGAGAGGACTGCTTACTGATGCGCACATAATCAGTTTAGGGTTTGGCCACATTGCGCAGGCACACCTTATCGGTCTCAAAGCCTGGACTGAGCCAAGATCCATGTGTGCCAGAGAACAAGAGCTTCTTCTTTTTGATGTTTCATTTCTAAGCACTGCAGCCTACACGCTTGAAGTCTGAAAATGGCATGTTCACACCATGAAAAATATACACTCTCGCTATCTTTTTTATGTGTATGGCACTGGCCTTTAAGTGAAATTTATGTTTTGTTCCACAGAGATCTTTCCAAGAATCACATCTCCTCTCTTGATACAACTCTACTAAATCGACTCTCCGGTCTTCGAGAGCTGTGAGTACAGACATGTTTTGTTTTTTTTTGTTTTTTGCGTCAGTGATGTCATCTGCGCACCATTTGGTCACTCATGTAGCTCTCCATTTTACAGATATCTACAAGGTAACAGCATTGTAATTTTGCCCAGAGGAGTATTCTGCTGTGGGCCTTTGTCCGTCCTGTGAGTACACTGTCAAGTGATCATATGAACAAAATTAACGAGAGGATTTGCGTAAAGCAGGGGCATCCACTTGCGCCAACAACTTCGAGGAAAAAGAAAGTTGTATTAGAAAACAGTATTGGCAACTAGGCCAATGAGAGAAACTTGCTATCAAACATGGGGCTCAATCTCGCTGCATTAAAATTTCAGTTTGTTTTTTGTTTTTTTTTTGAAAGAATAGAAGTTTACCCAGTTGAAGAGAAACAAGCAAAGGGCTCCCAATAATTACAAAATTTACATTCGGTGCAAAGGTGAAGTGGATATACTGTAATTTATTTTTATTTGCTACTATGTCTGTCAAAATGTGTCTCCTGTGAAACCAGTCTTTGGCGCAAAAAAAAAAAAAGGGGACTGTTGCCCTAGAATATATTGGAAGAAAAAGCATTCGCTCACGAATCATAAACCACCATTACACACAAATCAAACCATGATGATGTTAAATTACAGTCTACTGCTCCAGGCAAGCTGCAGCCCTCTCCCCCACCATCTGTCCAGCCATCTCTTCTTCCATTCATTAGCTTATTTCTTCCACTTCTTTATTTCTTCCACCAATTTGAAAGGGTTTTTTTTGTGTGTGTGAATGTGTGTGATGAGGAAGGACTCTGGTGGTTTCCATCAGCTCCATCCAAAACCACCACAACAACAGCCCCATTATGTAGCGTGCTGGGTTGAAAGGGTGGAAAGAAGCATGAGCAGAAAGGCTTAGAGGAGAGAAATAAATGTTTGGTGGATGAATCTAATGGAGTTAATTATGAGTCCAACATACAGACAAAGTAACTTTAGATTAGGACTATACATGCGGAGCTCAAACCTTTTTTTGTCCAGAAATAGATCAGCATCATCCCTACGGCTTTTAATTATAATTATTATTTCACAATTGTACCCCTTCAAGGTAAACTTGGGGGGTGGGGGGGGGGGTTACTGCTGGATTAACAGCTATCCGCCCTTGGATCATGTTTAAAGGTGTAGTGGAACAGTACTTGAGATGTCAGCATGGGGCAAAAATGACATCTTTCTTCAATTATGACAACGTTGTGATGTACTTCCTCTTACGCTTCAATGCGATTTGAAGGTGTGTGAATTCTCTTGGACTGATTCAATGGATGGACAAAAAGACAACAAGGTTAAAAAAAGCAGAACTGGAATCAGAAGCAGGATCTTTGGCACTGTGGCAACAGCTAGCCAGAAACAAACGTTTCCATGTACAGATATAACAGTCTGTGAAGGAGATTTGTATTTTGCGATCATCTGCTGACATACAGTACATGCGCTTGCCGTATTTGTCGATATGGATGGGACTGGATGATGTTCAACTATGATTGGAGCTGTGACAAAAATTCAGCTATGACAAGGATAATTCTTAGCTTGGACTGCAGGAGTACCAGCAGGCATGACAAGCGTCAGTGACCTCAACAATTAATTGAGGAGTAACATCATTTCGTTTGTTTTAAATGTAATTGATGAAATCGGACCGTGCAATGTCTGGCCACATCAAGACCAATTTATCCTCTAATAAGATCAAGAATTGTGCACAAGATCATTTTCTTTTTTGTGAGGTCACGAATCTCAAACATGTTTAGATATTCACCTCAAGTGTGGAAATGGAAAAAAGGCAGGTTGGCATTCCAATTTTTTATTGGAATGCCGAGTATGGCTGCGGATTGACTGGAGTGCAGACGGGGGTTGCAGTCGGCACACAGGGCCTTAAGCGGGCAGGCAATGAGGGTTTCCCAAAAGCAGTAGCAACGAGTGATCTGTAAGCACTGAGCAAAAAAACTAGGTACATGTTCAAGATAGATCTTAATGATGAGAACTTTACACAAAACATATACAGTCTGGTGCATCCCAGAGCGTCTTAAGGAGTGTCAGTAATTAGGCAGACAACTCCAACACACCAACCCTGCAATGCTTCCAAGCATCCAAGTGGGTGTGGCTTGTGCGCCTCGGTTTTGTTAGCCTTCCAGGAGAAATGCCGGCTAAACACATGATAAACGAGCCTTCATATGTTGGAGGAAAAAAAAAACCAAAACACCAAATTTGAACACAGACTCTCACAACCGCGTGCATCATTCAAATGTAAAGCATGATGGTCAAAAAAAAATAAAAGACCGTGGCAGTTCCTTCCTCCATCAGGAAATATGTCGTGGTTGGCGACAAATAGTAAAGTAAGTTGCATTTGTTAGTCCCCGGAAGGCATTTTAGAGCAATTTCCTTTTGGATTTTGCTTGGGCGTGGGGGTTATACTGTGCCGAATAAAGCTGGTGAAGCAGTTGACTGTCTTGAAAGCACTGTGAAGGGAGAGGGACATACCTGCAGTCAGAGCTAATTTGTGCTTGCAAATTTAGGACTACGGTCATGTTCTTGTTTTAATTCCTCATTCAAAAAAGAGCTTTCAAGCAACATGCTTTTCCTCATGTTGTTGAGACTGGAGGGGGAAAAAGTTGCAGCTGGCTACTCGTGTGGGCTGAATGGGTGGCAACAGTGCAAAAATGCCAGTATTTTGAGAGTAAGAGCTCGCAGCAACAGATGGAGAAAAAAAAAAAGAACCATGAACTAGTACATTTCCCAATTTTTAAATCAAAACTGGGCTAGTTCATTTTTAAATTTATGTATGAACTGAACTTTGAACGAGTTTGCGACTCTGCATAGAAATGAACTTTCCCAATAAGGCAACATTGATTGTCTGTTTTGTTTCCGTCAGTGACTTGAGCAACAACCAAATCACTAAGATAGAAGAAAGAATATGTGACGACCTGTGCAATTTAACGCTCATGTAAGTAACCACAATTTTGTTGTATTATGGTGTATTTTTCTTTCAAGTGTTTGACCTAGCAATGCATACACGACCAGAATAATTTCATTTCTACCGAATGACAACTGCAAATATAGTCATAATTTTTTTTCCAGCCAGAAATACATTCAGTATTTTGTTAAAAAAAAAAAAACACTGTACTAGTCAATCACAAGTCTGACAAGTAGAGAAAATCAAACTTTACTCACACATGCATGTCTCCGAGCAATTTGGAGTCTTTGGTTGACCCTCATGTATTTATTGACTGTGAGGAGGCCAGAGAGAGAGGCCAGGCGAGCACGGGGACAACATGCACAGTAATTGAAGAAGAAGATATTAATTTCATTGTCCTCTGAGGCTCTAAGCAACACCATATTTCAAAATGTATCGTCAATATATTTTATAATGTGTTTTAATTGAATAAGCACAATTCAAAGGTTAATGGTAAATCAAGTCAGCCAATTTTGACCAGTGAGTTGCGGTCAATCTTTGTTCAGTGAAATAAGATATTCATCACCATCAATATTTATCGGTGAAACACAGTGTTTATTTTTATCACCGTGTACTCAGACCATGAAACAAATTAACCGCACTTGCCAATATGCTTGTTCATAAAGTGTCCAAGCATCAGACAGTGACAGTATGCAAACTCCATATAGTAATCCCTCGTTTATCGAGGTTAATGGGGACCGAAACCACCCGCAATAGATGAAAATCCACGAAGTAGCGACCCCCCCCCCCCCGTATAGGTATATGTACATGTGTATGAGTATAAATAATATTTATAAGGCCGAATTTAATGGTATACATGCATGTTTGGAGGAATTAACATGACTTAATCCTGTATGCTAATATATTTAAACATGTATAAGTTAGGTTAGTGTTTGAATAGCAAAATATAGTAAACACATGTATGTAGTACTGTATATGTTGCTCTATGTGACTTGCTGTTGTTTTGCTGACTTTCACTGTCTCTCGCGGACCTTTTGCGGACTTTTTGCGGTTGTCTGTTTTTTCTTTTTTTTTTTTTTTTTTTTTTTTTTTTTTTTGACTATGTTTGAAAAAATCCGCGATGCACTGAGGCCGCGATGAACGAACCGCGAAATAGCCAGGGATCACTGTACAGTACTTCTAATGACACATGTCATTAGGAACGGCTTTTTTTCCTTTTTTTTAACTGTGTAGACATTGATTACATTGGTCAACAAATTTGTACATTTTTATAATCAGAGATCCAAGTTGTAAAAGCATTTAATCGCTGTGGCCTTCCCACAGCACAGTTAGACAATGCCTTGCGTCTATCATTTTACCTGTGCTATGATTAGGTCTAATCACCCAGACTGCATCATTGTCATTCTTCTTTGCCATTGTCTTTCTTTTTTTTTTTTTTTTTTTTTTTTTTTTTTTTTTGTCATGTAGTGACCTAAGCAGTAACCCCTTTGAGTGCGACTGTAAGCTTTTCCACTTGGTCAACTGGCTCCAGGAGAAAGGGGTACACGTTCGTCGGCCCGATGCCATGCTCTGTAACCACCCTCCTGAGCTCCGTCACCAGCCTCTGCTCAACGTCAGAGTGTTCACGTGCGGTACGAATCAATAACACTCAAATACAAGACGCAGCACTTCCAAGGCTGAGCGATGAATCGACCGCCTGCCTTTAAAAAGAACAACACATTTTAGATCTACACTTGTGTCACTGCACTGTATTTAATGCAGGTCAGAGTGTTCAATCCCGTGTCTTTGTCCAGGTCTGAATTACGCCGCTTGTCTGGAGGACACTAGCAGTGGAGGAGGGGGACGGAGCGAGCTTGTCATCTTCTCGTCCTCCACGCCGGGCAACTTCACGCGTGAACAGTGTAACAGCATGTGCTTCGCTGCGTCGCACCGCTATGGCGGCCTGGGGGCGAGGCAGGAGTGTCTCTGCAGTACCAACTCTGAGCCCAACTTCATCAGTGAATCTCAGTGTTCTGCTGCCTGTACCAACCCCAGTGTCATGAAGGTAGAGTGACCTGAACAGTCTTCTTTGGTAGTCGGTTGCTTAAGTTTAGTGTACATGCAGTCTGTGCAGATTCCATTATGTACTGTATGTTCCACACTCACATGGCACTTTGTTTGGTACACTTGTACAGTCTTTTAAGGTCCAATACAAGAGCTGTTCTAAAATCCTGCCTTGACACAATAGTCAGCGTGAACACGCACCATTGTGTTAAAAAAAAAAAAAAAAAAAAATTATGATACACTGCAGTCAAGTACCACATCATTATTTTTAACTTTAAAAATAAAAGTTGTCGCAGTAAAAGGTATTTTATTTTAATGACAGTTCTCTGCGTTTCTACTGTCTCTGCTCTGGTTCTTCATGTGGGTCCCAGGAATGTGGGTGGACTCTAGCCCACGACGTATTTGCAGTCGACTTCTCTATCCGACTGGAGGCCCTGCCGCTGCAAAGCGTTCACGACAGCATCGGTTTCTCAGCTGCGTCCTCCGTCACGCCAGTCACGCTGTCCTGGGATTTTGGTGACCTTTCACCTCGTGTTAACACCTCAGCAACAGAAGTCACCATGGCAACGCATAAATACGGGCTTCCAGGAAAGTATGTGGTCGGTTTGACAGCCTGGGCTGGACACAAGGAGGTGAGATTTTCTTTTTCCTCCTAAACTGGAGTTGCACTGCCCTTCCCTTACTGTGGTCAATGGGAGCATGGAAATCACGCTTGTCAGCTGGGGAGCGCTTGGCCTAAATGTAGACTGGACGATCGCCAAAAATGATGTGCAGGTTGCGAAAGGTGAGGGAAAAACACTCCATCAAATCCATCAAGCTCTTATAGCACAGTATGTTCAGTATGCACAGCATGATTTAACCACAGAAGGATCTTCAGTTAAATTATAGATGCATGCGAGCAGGCTTTAGAGAACATAATGGACAGCGCGGAGAGTTGCTTCCGCTACACGGCACTTCACCTTCACCATATTATTGGTATGTTGAAAGTAACCTTGTCACAAAAATGTACAGCTTGAGCTGTGTCTAGAGATCGGTCTTTGGGAAACAGGCTGGTTTAGATGTGAATTTGATTTATCCAAATAATAATGTACATACGTGGAAATAAATTCATACTCATTCGATTGGATTGTATGGCCTTAAGTGAGGCTGGCGGCGGGAATCAGTGAGGGGACAAAATGTGTTGACAAGGCACTGAAATTAAAACTGCTATTAGGCTGACACAGTCCCCTCCCTAGGGGCGGGTACCGAAATTGGTACTTTTTTGGGGGGGGTGGTGGGTATGGACGGTTTAGGGTTGGTACAACAGAGCACCAATTCACGTGAAATCACCCAATGTCATGTTTCAGATCCGAAGCGCATCTTTCTAAGTTGTGACTCTGCAGGAGTGCAAAAGTTTTCATGGCATGCTCACTAGCAAAATGTAGTGAGCATTATGTAACCTGTCATGTACGTTCAAATCATTAGTTTGATCTCAGTTATTCTCCTTGTACTTGTTGAAGCCCTCTTCCAACTCTCATTTTTTTCTTTGCGATGTTTCAGACCAAGCTGGGTTCAAAGTACCAGTATCCATTCACGGTTCGGTTCAAATGTGAAGAACCCGATCCCTACCCCTACCCAATTAATGTAAATGGTCCGTAAGGAATAAGACAGCAACAAAGTTTTCCAGAACGTTTATCCAACTCACCCCCTTTAGTAGGAATATTGTTGTTCCTTTCCATACTGTTTCTTTCAACCCTCTGCCAAACAATGAAACAATGTAGTACCCACCAAAATTTTTGGAACGGCCGTTGTTGAGTGATATAAAGATGCATATGAGACAAGGGATCACAGTTTTTGTTTTTGTTTTTTTCGGGTGTAGAGTGGATCAGAATCTGATGTCTAACTTAAAACCCACCCATTTTCCATTTGAACAAAAGTTAAGGAAAATGTTAAAGCCCCGAATCTCGGTGCGGAGTTTCACATTTTGGGCAGAATCTTTGCCAGTATAACCACTTGGAATGGAGACTAAAGGAACCTCTAGTGTACTATCTAGCTGTGAAGAAACAAAAAAACAAACCAAAAAAAAACCAGCTGTAGGTTACATCAGCAATAACTACTCCAGCGGGCAGGAGTGAAGTTCATAACCATGAATAAAAGTACAGGGGCGACAGTAGTGGTTTAAAGCACTCATTAGCAAGAAGAATAAGAATGTCAGACCAGAAATGGAGAAGAAACGACACTTGACAATTCAGGTTTTAAGACTAATCAGACAAAATTAACCTTTACCAGAGCCAAATGCTAAAGCTTTGACAAAGAAAGGAGCCGCTCATGATCCCAAACGTACAAGCTCCTCCATGCAACTAACTACTCCAGCGGGCAGGAGTGAAGTTCATAACCATGAATAAAAGTACAGGCGCGACAGTAGTGGTATAAAGTACTCCTTAGCAAGAAGAATAAAAAGGTCAGACCAGAAATGGAGAAGAAAAGACAATTGAGGTTTTAAGACTAATCAGACAAAATTAACCTTTACCAGAGCCAAATGCTAAAGCTTTGACAAAAAGCTTTGATCCGCTCATGATCCCAAACGTACAAGCTCCTCCGTGCAATGCAGTGGCGGTAATTTTATGGCTTGCATGGGTTCCTCTGGGACGAGCTCATTCATCTTCGTTGACGTTACAGTAACCCAAGATAGCAACTACAGCAAGTCAACAGAAGCATTCAAAGAAAGACAATGACTCCAAAACACACTGTCTCAACATGGAAGAAGGAAGAAGTGGAAGGTTTTGGACCGGTTGGATTAAAGTTGCCAGAGTGTGTCATGATGGGGACTGAAAACAACAACCTCCCCCCCAAAAAAATATCCGAACAACTGAGAAGCTGTGGGGAACGCTTGGAAACGTATCACAAATGAAAAAAAAAAAACGCATAAGTTTGGAAATGTCCGCGGTCACAAGCATGGAGCACGTGTCGCAAACAAAAGGATATGCAGCGAAACATTGAGTCTTACTCACTTCTATATCTTGAGTCTATTTAAGTCTACCCGTTCTGATACTTTTGCTTGTATCAAATCCAGATGTACAGGCTACGAAATCTGGAAATGAAAGCAGAAATGTTCTCTTGCCTGATATTCATATTTTATGTCAAACCATGTTTTCTGTCTGCAGCAAACATGAATGAGAAATTATTGTCGCCATATTTTTGGAGGGGAGTGCATCATCTGCTGGTTCTTGCACAGAAAAAAAAGTTATATTTTGTCTTTTTTTTTTTTTTTTCCCCTCCCCTTTTGCCAGCCTCTCCTCACTGTCCAAAGGATGGGGTCTACCATATTGAGTCCTCATGCTGTTTCCAGATTGTTCCAGCAGAGATGAGCTGGACTGATGCTCAACAGCAATGTTCAGATCGCGGCGGGAACCTGGCAATAGTCAGAGGTGACGCGCTGCGCAAACTGCTGGCTCATAAAGTCACACAGTGAGTGTTTGTGTCTCGATGAAGTGTTTTGTGCGTTAGCTCGGAGATCAACGTTCCCTCTCCTTTTCCATGTGTCTGAGCATTCACACGTTCACACAAACACCCTGAGCATTCCTTGGACAAGGGCTGTGCAGTGTGGCTCAAATGGAATATTTTGTCATTTTTGCCAGATGCCTTGATAACGATACGTTAACGATGTTACTGACTTCCATAAATACTAAGCGTTTTAAAAGATTATGTCAATCCAGAAGGATGTGGAAAGTGTATTATTTTATACAGTTGAAAAGTCAGCAACAAATTAAAAACTATTCAATTCACATTGCAATGAAACTATGCTTGAATGATAAAAAATAGCTTTATGCCCCAGCAGAAGTGTTGGTGTGCGTGTGTGTGTTAGCTGCATCAACGTGTATGTGTGTGTGTGTGTGTGTGTGTGTGTGTGTGTGTGTGTGTGTGTGTGTGTGTGTGTATACGTGCGTGCGTGTGTGTGTTGTATCAATTTGTCCATGCACGACCGTAGTAAGAATAAGCGGTTCAGAATGTGGATAGATGTGTTGTGTGGCTTGTGAAAAAAAAAACATGTTAATGACTTTTAATTATGAAAGAAAAAAATTGCCAACACACATTTCAACCATCCACCTGAAGTATCCAGAATATTTAAAAAAGGTGGTGATGTGACCTCCCCTCTCTCATCAACAATTTGTGCTCGCGCTCACACTCATTTCCTCATTTCATTTCAACGAATGCCGTTTCTTTTATGAAAGATGTTCCTTGACAGGATGGTCGAAATGTTGAATCGCTAGTGCAGCTACTCATCAGGTTATTTGGATGTCACAAAGAACCTGGTAGGTTCGATGACGTAGCCAAATGTACTTGTCTTGTGTTTGGAATGTAGTTTATATGAGGCAATTCACAATCAGGTGAGCTACTCTGGGTTGCTCTTGTTACAGTTGAGACTAAGTTTGGCGTTTAGCTTTGAAGGTCGCGAACACCACATCTGTAAAAGCACAGCTGCATGGTAACTTTGACACCCTACGAGGAAGGGACGTTAGGTGTGTGTGTGTGTGTGTGTGTGTGTGTGTGTGTGTGTGTGTGTGTGTGTGTGTGTGTGTGTACATTGTTGTAGACTAAAATGGAAGAGAGTGGAAAAAGCTGCTGTAATGGAGTTTCTCCCCACCCAGCCTCCTTGTATGTCATTGACTTTTTTTTTCTTTCCTTTCTATTTGTGTTTCTTGCCCCTGTCACCTTGTGTTGTGTTTTCTTTGTTTGTATTTTAACCCTTGTGCACTTCAGACATCGTCATTTTCACAGATGTGACAAGTGGACAAAATACCTGGAAAAAAAGTGAAAGGGATGGGCGAGGAAATGCCTTTCTCGAGACAATCAAAACACTCAACTATTTGGATCCAAAAACATTGTTCGTGTGACTTTGACATTTAATTTTTGGGTCAAAGAGTGTTTTGTGTTCGGTTAAACAGTCGATATGGATTGAGAGAGTTAATTAGTGAAGCCAGAATTTAATCCAAGTAACAAGGGCAGACTAAGACGTCCAACCCAATCAAAGCAAATTGTCAAGCACTGTCCTCAGCCCTTTCTGTATTGATTGGCACAATTTGGTGATTGCAATTTCTCTCGAATCTATCAGCCTTGTCTCTGTCTGAAAATCTTGTCAAGAGAGCTATTACAATTGACAGTCATTAATGGATGATTTGAGTTATATATATTTTATTATATTATATACAGATATATTTTTTTTTCATGGAGTTTGTCAAATTATTAACTTGAGTGACCGCGATGCTGAGAACTGAACATTTGATGCGCTCATCATGATATAACCTGTCTTTTGCCTCACCAGGGAACGAGGAGTGTGGCTCGGATTGAGCGACGTCACTTCCCCGGGCAAGCTGCGCTGGGTCAACGGAGAGGAAGGCCTGCCACCTCGTTCTCCAATCTCCCGCAGCAACTTTTGTGTCTGCCTTGATCAGCGTGCTCAGACCAGTTTGCACCCGTGCAACACCAAGCGGGCATTTGTCTGTCAGTATAGCCCTCAAGGTATGTTTTCATATGTCCGGTGTACCGCAACATAAATAAGTTAGAATTACCCACTGGAATAATGACCGAAAGTGTTTTTTCTTTTTTTTTTGGGATTAATTTTTAAACAGTTAGAAAAAAGGAAAACATGGTCACATGTTTAAATACATTGAACATCATCAGTTCCGGGCATCAAAACAGAACATACATCACATATATCCGAAAGTGTTTTTGTGTGTGTGTGTGTGTGTGTGCGTGTGTGTGT